TTGGAATAGTGTCACAAACTTGGAATAGTGTCACAAACTTGGGAATAGTGTCACAAACTTGGGAATAGTGTCACAAACTTGGGAATAGTGTCACAAACTTGGGAATAGTGTCACAAACTTGGGAATAGTGTCACAAACTTGGGAATACTTGGGTGTCACAAACTTGGGAATAGTGTCACAAACTTTGGAATAGTGTCACAAACTTTGGAATAGTGTCACAAACTTGGGAATAGTGTCACAAACTTGGGAATAGTGTCACAAACTTGGGAATAGTGTCACAAACTTGGGAATAGTGTCACAAACTTTGGAATAGTGTCACAAACTTTGGAATAGTGTCACAAACTTGGGAATAGTGTCACAAACTTGGGAATAGTGTCACAAACTTTGGAATAGTGTCACAAACTTGGGAATAGTGTCACAAACTTGGGAATTGTCACAAACTTGGAATAGTGTCACAAACTTGGGAATAGTGTTACAAACTTGGGAATAGTGTCACAAACTTTGGAATAGTGTCACAGACTTGGGAATAGTGTCACAAACTTGGGAATAGTGTCACAAACTTGGGAATAGTGTCACAAACTTGGGAATAGTGTCACAAACTTGGGAATAGTGTCACAAACTTGGGAATAGTGTCACAAACTTGGGAATAGTGTCACAAACTTGGGAATAGTGTCACAAACTTGGGAAATAGTGTCACAAACTTGGGAATAGTGTCACAAACTTGGGAATAGTGTCACAAACTTGGGAATAATGTCACAAACTTGGGAATAGTGTCACACACTTTGGAATAGTGTCACAAACTTTGGAATAGTGTCACAAACTTGGGAATAATGTCACAAACTTGGGAATAGTGTCACATACTTGGAAATAGTGTCACAAACTTTGGAATAGTGTCACAAACTTGGGAATAGTGTCACAAACTTGTGAATAGTGTCACAAACTTGGGAATAGTGTTACAAACTTGGGAAACTTGGGAATAGTGTCACAAACTTGTGAATAGTGTCACAAACTTGGGAATAGTGTTACAAACTTGGGAATAGTGTCACAAACTTGTGAATAGTGTCACAAACTTGGGAATAGTGTTACAAACTTGGGAATAGTGTCACAAACTTTGGAATAGTGTCACATACTTGGGAATAATGTCACAAACTTGGGAATAGTGTCACATACTTGGGAATAGTGTCACAAACTTGGGAATAGTGTCACAAACTTGGGAATAGTGTCACAAACTTGGGAATAGTGTCACAAACTTGGGAATTGTCACAAACTTGGGAATAGTGTCACAAACTTTGGAATAGTGTCACAAACTTGGGAATAGTGTCACAAACTTGGGAATAGTGGGAATAGTGTCACAGTGTCACAAACTTGGGAATAGTGTACTTGGGTGTCACAAACTTGGGAATAGTGTCACAAACTTGGGAATAGTGTCACAAACTTGGGAATAGTGTCACAAACTTGGGAATAGTGTCACAAACTTGGGAATAATGTCACAAACTTGGGAATAGTGTCACAAACTTGGGAATAGTGTCACAAACTTGGGAATAGTGTCACAAACTTGGGAATAGTGTCACAAACTTGGGAATAGTGTCACAAACTTGGGAATAGTGTCACAAACTTGGGAATAGTGTCACAAACTTTGGAATAGTGTCACAAACTTGGGAATAGTGTCACAAACTTGGGAATTGTCACAAACTTGGGAATAGTGTCACAAACTTGGGAATAGTGTCACAAACTTGGGAATAGTGTCACAAACTTGGGAATAGTGTCACAAACTTGGGAATAGTGTCACAAACTTTGGAATAGTGTCACAAACTTTGGAATAGTGTCACAAACTTGGGAATAGTGTCACAAACTTGGGAATAGTGTCACATACTTGGGAATAGTGTCACAAACTTTGGAATAGTGGGAATAGTGTCACAAACTTGGGAATAGTGTCACAAACTTGGGAATAGTGTCACAAACTTGGGAATAGTGTCACAAACTTTGGAATAGTGTCACAAACTTGGGAATAGTGTCACAAACTTGGGAATAGTGTCACAAACTTGGGAATAGTGTCACAAACTTGGGAATAGTGTCACAAACTTGGGAATAGTGTCACAAACTTGGGAATAGTGTTACAAACTTGGGAATAGTGTCACAAACTTGGGAATAGTGTCACAAACTTGGGAATAATGTCACAGACTTGGGAATAGTGTCACAAACTTGGGAATAGTGTCACAAACTTGGGAATAGTGTCACAAACTTGGGAATAGTGTCACAAACAGTGTCACAAACTTGGGAATAGTGTCACAAACTTGGGAATAGTGTCACAAACTTGGGAATAGTGTCACAAACTTGGGAATAGTGTCACAAACTTGGGAATAGTGTCACAAACTTGGGAATAGTGTCACAAACTTGGGAATAGTGTCACACTTGGGAATAGTGTCACAAACTTGGGAATAGTGTCACAAACTTGGGAATAGTGTTACAAACTTGGGAATAGTGTCACAAACTTTGGAATAGTGTCACAAACTTGGGAATAATGTCACAAACTTGGGAATAGTGTCACATACTTGGAAATAGTGTCACAAACTTTGGAATAGTGTCACAAACTTGGGAATAGTGTCACAAACTTGTGAATAGTGTCACAAACTTGGGAATAGTGTTACAAACTTGGGAATAGTGTCACAAACTTGTGAATAGTGTCACACAGTGTTACAAACTTGGGAATAGTGTCACAAACTTTGGAATAGTGTCACATACTTGGGAATAATGTCACAAACTTGGGAATAGTGTCACAAACTTGGGAATAGTGTCACAAACTTGGGAATAGTGTCACAAACTTGGGAATAGTGTCACAAACTTGGGAATAGTGTCACAAACTTGGGAATAGTGTCACAAACTTGGGAATAGTGTCACAAACTTGGGAATAGTGTCACAAACTTGGGAATAGTGTCACAAACTTGGGAATAGTGTTACAAACTTGGGAATAGTGTCACAAACTTTGGAATAGTGTCACAGACTTGGGAATAGTGTCACAAACTTGGGAATAGTGTCACACTTGGGAATAGTGTCACAAACTTTGGAATAGTGTCACAAACTTGGGAATAATGTCACAGACTTGGGAATAGTGTCACAAACTTGGGAATAGTGTCACAAACTTGGGAATAGTGTCACAAACTTGGGAATAGTGTCACAAACTTGGGAATAGTGTCACAAACTTGGGAATAGTGTCACAAACTTGGGAATAGTGTCACAAACTTGGGAATAGTGTCACAAACTTGGAAATAGTGTCACAAACTTGGGAATAGTGTCACAAACTTGGGAATAGTGTCACAAACTTGGGAATAGTGTCACAAACTTGGGAATAGTGTCACAAACTTGGGAATAGTGTCACAAACTTGGGAATAGTGTCACAAACTTGGGAATAGTGTCACAAACTTGGGAATAGTGTCACAAACTTGGGAATAGTGTCACAAACTTGGGAATAGTGTCACAAACTTGGGAATAGTGTCACAAACTTGGGAATAGTGTCACAAACTTGGGAATAGTGTCACAAACTTGGGAATAGTGTACTTGGGAATAGTGTCACAAACTTGGGAATAGTGTCACAAACTTGGGAATAGTGTCACAAACTTGGGAATAGTGTCACAAACTTGGGAATAGTGTCACAAACTTGGGAATAGTGTCACAAACTTGGGAATAGTGTCACAAACTTGGGAATAGTGTCACAAACTTGGGAATAGTGTCACAAACTTGGGAATAGTGTCACAAACTTGGGAATAGTGTCACAAACTTGGGAATAGTGTCACAAACTTGGGAATAGTGTCACACAAACTTGGGAATAGTGTCACAAACTTGGGAATAGTGTCACAAACTTGGGAATAGTGTCACAAACTTGGGAATAGTGTCACAAACTTGGGAATAGTGTCACAAACTTGGGAATAGTGTCACAAACTTGGGAATAGTGTCACAAACTTGGGAATAGTGTCACAAACTTGGGAATAGTGTCACAAACTTGGGAATAGTGTCACAAACTTGGGAATAGTGTCACAAACTTGGGAATAGTGTCACAAACTTGGGAATAGTGTCACAAACTTGGGAATAGTGTCACAAACTTGGGAATAGTGTCACAAACTTGGGAATAGTGTCACAAACTTGGGAATAGTGTCACAAACTTGGGAATAGTGTCACAAACTTGGGAATAGTGTCACAAACTTGGGAATAGTGTCACAAACTTGGGAATAGTGTCACAAACTTGGGAATAGTGTCACAAACTTGGGAATAGTGTCACAAACACAAACTTGGGAATAGTGTCACAAACTTGGGAATAGTGTCACAAACTTGGGAATAGTGTCACAACTTGGAAATAGTGTCACAAACTTGGGAATAGTGTCACAAACTTGGGAATAGTGTCACAAACTTGGGAATAGTGTCACAAACTTGGGAATAGTGTCACAAACTTGGGAATAGTGTCACAAACTTGGGAATAGTGTCACAAACTTGGGAATAGTGTCACAAACTTGGGAATAGTGTCACAAACTTGGCAATAGTGTCACAACCTTGGGAATAGTGTCACAAACTTGGGAATAGTGTCACAAACTTGGGAATAGTGTCACAAACTTGGGAATAGTGTCACAAACTTGGGAATAGTGTCACAAACTTGGGAATAGTGTCACAAACTTGGGAATAGTGTCACAAACTTGGGAATAGTGTCACAAACTTGGGAATAGTGAGGGTTCCGTCCTGGCGGCCTTCCTCAGCTCCCAATTTGGTTTTGGCAAATTTCTCAGGACGAATATTTTGTTGGACTTGGAGGTCCGCGCTCGTGCTGCCGTTGCTGCCGTTACTGCCGTTGCTGCCGTTGCTGCCGTTGCTGCTGTTGCTGCCGTTACTGCCGTTGCTGCTGTTACTGCCGTTGCTGCTGTTACTGCCGTTGCTGCCGTTGCTGCCGTTGCTGCCGTTACTGCCGTTGCTGCTGTTACTGCCGTTGCTGCTGTTACTGCCGTTGCTGCTGTTACTGCCGTTGCTGCTGTTACTGCCGTTGCTGCCGTTACTGCCGTTGCTGCCGTTGCTGCCGTTGCTGCCGTTACTGCCGTTGCTGCTGTTACTGCCGTTGCTGCCGTTGCTGCCGTTGCTGCCGTTACTGCCGTTGCTGCTGTTACTGCCGTTGCTGCTGTTACTGCCGTTGCTGCCGTTGCTGCCGTTGCTGCTGTTGCTGCCGTTACTGCCGTTGCTGCCGTTACTGCCGTTGCTGCCGTTGCTGCCGTTGCTGCCGTTGCTGCCGTTACTGCCGTTACTGCCGTTACTGCCGTTGCTGCTGTTACTGCCGTTGCTGCCGTTACTGCCGTTGCTGCTGTTACTGCCGTTACTGCCGTTGCTGCTGTTACTGCCGTTGCTGCCGTTACTGCCGTTGCTGCTGTTACTACCGTTGCTGCCGTTGCTGCCGTTACTGCCGTTGCTGCCGTTACTGCCGTTGCTGCCGTTGCTGCTGTTACTGCCGTTGCTGCCGTTACTGCCGTTGCTGCTGTTACTGCCGTTGCTGCTGTTACTGCCGTTACTGCCGTTGCTGCTGTTACTGCCGTTGCTGCTGTTACTGCCGTTGCTGCCGTTGCTGCCGTTGCTGCTGTTGCTGCCGTTACTGCCGTTGCTGCCGTTGCTACCGTTGCTGCCGTTACTGCCGTTGCTGCTGTTACTGCCGTTGCTACCGTTGCTGCCGTTGCTGCTGTTACTGCCGTTGCTGCCGTTACTGCCGTTGCTGCTGTTACTGCCGTTACTGCCGTTGCTGCCGTTGCTGCTGTTGCTGCCGTTGCTGCCGTTGCTGCTGTTACTACCGTTGCTGCCGTTACTGCCGTTGCTGCCGTTGCTGCTGTTGCTGCCGTTGCTGCCGTTGCTGCCGTTGCTGCCGTTGCTGCTGTTACTACCGTTGCTGCCGTTACTGCCGTTGCTGCCGTTGCTGCTGTTGCTGCCGTTGCTGCCGTTGCTGCCGTTGCTGCCGTTGCTGCCGTTGCTGCCTTTTTCTCTGACCTGGAGAAGGCTTCTGAGACCACTGGGAGACTAAATATTTAAGCCCAACTAGTCTTTTTTTGGCTTTCGGGGCAATTTTCTGCTTTTCCTTCAAAGACTTCATTCCCGTCGCTTGTTTCCAATGAGGGTCCGTGTTGCTTAATTGGTCAGTTGTCGACATTATGAAGGTGTCCTTCAGGGTGGTGTTCCCCGCCATATTGGACTGCCCTCGATGGGTTCCCCGCCATACTGGACTGCCCTCGATGGGTTCACCGCCATATTGGACTGCCCTCGATGGGTTCCCCGCCATATTGGACTGCCCTCGCTGGGTTCCCCGCCATATTGGACTGCCCTCGCTGGGTTCCCCGCCATACTGGACTGCCCTCGATGGGTTCCCGCCATACTGGACTGCCCTCGATGGGTTCCCGCCATACTGGACTGCCCTCGATGGGTTCCCGCCATATTGGACTGCCCTCGATAGGTTCCCCGCCATATTGGACTGCCCTCGATGGGTTCCCGCCATACTGGACTGCCCTCGATGGGTTCCCGCCATACTGGACTGCCCTCGATGGGTTCCCGCCATATTGGACTGCCCTCGATGGGTTCCCCGTCATATTGGACTGCCCTCGATGGGTTCCCGCCATATTGGACTGCCCTCGATGGGTTCCCCGCCATATTGGACTGCCCTCGATGGGTTCCCCGCCATACTGGACTGCCCTCGATGGGTTCCCCGCCATACTGGACTGCCCTCGCTGGGTCCCCCGCCATACTGGACTGCCCTCGATGGGTTCCCCGCCATACTGGACTGCCCTCGCTGGGTCCCCCGCCATACTGGACTGCCCTCGATGGGTTCCCCGCCATACTGGACTGCCCTCGATGGGTTCCCCGCCATACTGGACTGCCCTCGATGGGTTCCCCGCCATACTGGACTGCCCTCGCTGGGTCCCCCGCCATACTGGACTGCCCTCGATGGGTTCCCCGCCATACTGGACTGCCCTCGATGGGTTCCCCGCCATATTGGACTGGCCTCACTGGGTTCCCCGCCATATTGGACTGGCCTCACTGGGTTCCCCGCCATACTGGACTGCCCTCGATGGGTTCCCCGCCATATTGGACTGCCCTCGATGGGTTCCCCGCCATACTGGACTGCCCTCGCTGGGTTCCCCGCCATACTGGACTGCCCTCGATGGGTTCCCCGCCATATTGGACTGGCCTCACTGGGTTCCCCGCCATATTGGACTGGCCTCACTGGGTTCCCCGCCATACTGGACTGCCCTCGATGGGTTCCCCGCCATATTGGACTGCCCTCGATGGGTTCCCCGCCATACTGGACTGCCCTCGCTGGGTTCCCCGCCATACTGGACTGCCCTCGATGGGTTCCCCGCCATATTGGACTGGCCTCACTGGGTTCCCCGCCATATTGGACTGGCCTCACTGGGTTCCCCGCCATACTGGACTGCCCTCGATGGGTTCCCCGCCATATTGGACTGCCCTCGATGGGTTCCCCGCCATACTGGACTGCCCTCGCTGGGTCCCCCGCCATATTGGACTGGCCTCACTGGGTTCCCCGCCATACTGGACGGCCCTCGCGGGATTCCCCGCCATATTGGACTGCCCTCGATGGGTTCCCCGCCATATTGGACTGCCCTCGATGGGTTCCCCGCCATATTGGACTGCCCTCGATGGGTTCCCCGCCATATTGGACTGCCCTCGATGGGTTCCCCGCCATATTGGACGGCCCTCGCTGGGTTCCCCGCCATATTTTACTGGCCTCACTGGGTTCCCCGCCATATTGGACTGGCCTCACTGGGTTCCCCGCCATATTGGACTGGCCTCACTGGGTTCCCCGCCATATTGGACTGCCTTCGATGGGTTCCCCGCCATATTGGACTGGCCTCACTGGGTTCCCCGCCATATTGGACTGGCCTCACTGGGTTCCCCGCCATACTGGACTGGCCTCACTGGGTTCCCCGCCATATTGGACTGGCCTCACTGGGTTCCCCGCCATACTGGACTGGCCTCACTGGGTTCCCCGCCATATTGGACGGCCCTCGCTGGGTTCCCCGCCATATTGGACTGGCCTCACTGGGTTCCCCGCCATATTGGACTGGCCTCACTGGGTTCCCCGCCATATTGGACTGGCCTCACTGGGTTCCCCGCCATATTGGACTGGCCTCACTGGGTTCCCCGCCATACTGGACTGGCCTCACTGGGTTCCCCACCATATTGGACGGCCCTCGCTGGGTCCCCCGCCATATTGGACGGCCCTCGCTGGGTTCCCCGCCATATTGGACTGGCCTCACTGGGTTCCCCGCCATATTGGACTGGCCTCACTGGGTTCCCCGCCATATTGGACTGGCCTCACTGGGTTCCCCGCCATATTGGACTGGCCTCACTGGGTTCCCCGCCATATTGGACTGGCCTCACTGGGTTCCCCGCCATATTGGACTGGCCTCACTGGGTTCCCCGCCATATTGGACTGGCCTCACTGGGTTCCCCGCCATATTGGACGGCCCTCGCTGGGTCCCCCGCCATATTGGACGGCCCTCGCTGGGTTCCCCGCCATATTGGACTGGCCTCACTGGGTTCCCCGCCATATTGGACTGGCCTCACTGGGTTCCCCGCCATATTGGACTGGCCTCACTGGGTTCCCCGCCATATTGGACTGGCCTCACTGGGTTCCCCGCCATATTGGACTGGCCTCACTGGGTTCCCCGCCATATTGGACTGGCCTCACTGGGTTCCCCGCCATATTGGACGGCCCTCGCTGGGTCCCCCGCCATATTGGACGGCCCTCGCTGGGTTCCCCGCCATATTGGACTGGCCTCACTGGGTTCCCCGCCATATTGGACTGGCCTCACTGGGTTCCCCGCCATATTGGACTGGCCTCACTGGGTTCCCCGCCATATTGGACTGGCCTCACTGGGTTCCCCGCCATATTGGACTGGCCTCACTGGGTTCCCCGCCATATTGGACTGGCCTCACTGGGTTCCCCGCCATATTGGACGGCCCTCGCTGGGTCCCCCGCCATATTGGACTGGCCTCACTGGGTTCCCCGCCATATTGGACTGGCCTCACTGGGTTCCCCGCCATATTGGACTGGCCTCACTGGGTTCCCCGCCATATTGGACTGGCCTCACTGGGTTCCCCGCCATATTGGACTGGCCTCACTGGGTTCCCCGCCATATTGGACGGCCCTCGCTGGGTCCCCCGCCATATTGGACTGGCCTCACTGGGTTCCCCGCCATATTGGACGGCCCTCGCTGGGTCCCCCGCCATATTGGACGGCCCTCGCGGGGTTCCCTCGATGGTTATAGTGTGTTGTTTGCTGGTCAGTGGGAAGGATGCAGTACGATACTCTTGTGGCATTTCCTTCTTTTATTGATCAAATATATAAATATCTACTGGGCTACATAACTAGGGTTTGTACTCACCTAGTTGTGCACACCTAGTTGTGTTTGCGGGGGTTGAGCTCTGGCTCTTTGGTCCCGCCTCTCAACCGTCAGTCAACTGGTGTACAGGTTCCTGAGCCTATTGGGCTCTATCATATCTACACTTGAAACTGTGTATGGAGTCAGCCTCCACCACATCACTGCCTAATGCATTCCATTTGTCTACTACTCTGACACTGAAAAAATTCTTTCCAATGTCTCTGTGGTTCATCTGGGTACTAAGTTTCCACCCTGTCAATTCCCCTGAGAATTTTATAGGTGGTTATCATGTCTCCCCTTACTCTTCTGTTTTCCAGGGACGTGAGGTTCAGCTCCTTTAGCCTTTCCTCGTAGCTCATTCCTCTCAGTTCCGGGACGAGCCTGGTGTCATACCGCTGAATCTTCTCTAACTTTGTCTTGTGTTTAACTAGGTATGGACTCCAAGCTGGTCTGCATATTCCAGGACTGGTCTTACATAAGTGGTATACAGGGTTCTGAAAGATTCCTTACACAAGTTTCTAAACACAGTTCTTATGTTGGCCAGTCTAGCATATGCCGCTGATGATGTCCTTTTGATGTGGGCCTCTGGGGACAGGTTCGGTGTGATATCAACCCCCAGATCTTTCTCTCTATTTGACTCTGGCAGGATTTCACCTCCCAGATGATACCTTGTGTTCAGCCTTCTGCTCCCTTCGCCTAATTTCATTATTTTACACTTTCCTGAGTTGAACTTTAGCAGCCATTTTTTTGACCATTCCTCCAGTTTGTCAAGGTCATCCTGTAGTCTCTGTCTATCTTCATCCGTCTTGATTCTTCTCATAATTTTTGCATCATCAGCAAACATTGAGAGGAATGAGTCTATACCCTCTGGAAGATCGCTTACATATATTAAAAACAGGATGGGTCCAAGTACAGAGCCCTGTGGGACTCCGCTGGTGACATCTCACCACTCTGATGTCTCCCCCTCACAGTTACTCGCTGTTTTCCGTTGCTTAGATACTCCCTTATCCACTGGAGCACCTTACCTCACTCCTGTCTGTTGCTCCAACTTTTGTAACAGCCTTTTATGGGATACTGTGTCAAAGGCTTTCTGACAGTCCAAGAAAATGGAGTCTGCCCACCCTTCTCTTTCTTGCCTAATTTATGTTGCTTGGTCATAGAATTCTATTAGACCTGTGAGGATCACGATTTACCATCCCTGAACCCATGTTGGTGGTGTGTCACAAAACTATTTCCCTCCAGATGCTCTACGAGCCTTTTCCTCACGATCTTCTCCATCACCTTGCATGGTATACAAGTTAAGGAAACTGGCCTGTAATTCAGTGCCTCTTGCCTGTCACCCTTCTTGTATATTGCGACTACGTTAGCTGTCTTCCAACTTTCCGTAAGGTCTCCTGTTTCCAGTGACCTGTTATACACCATTGAGAGTGGCACACTTAGTTCCTCTGCACCTTCTTTTAGTATCCACATTGAGATTCTATCAGGCCCAACAGCCTTTGTCACATTCAGCTCCAACAGATTCCTTTTGACCTCATCACTGGTGAGGTAAAATTCCTCCAAGGTTGCTTGGTTTGTCGCCGCCTCATTTAGTGCAGGGGCTTCTCCCTGTTCTATTGTGAAGACCTCTTGGAATCTCTTGTTGAGTTCTTCACACACCTCCATGTCATTCTCTGTGTATCTGTTCTCCCCTTTTCTCAGTTTCATCACTTGTTGTAACAGTGCAAGTATTTTGCACTCTTTCATGAATAATTGTGAGTTGTAATTGTGTGTGTGTGTCTGTGCGTGCGTGTGTGTGTGTGTGTATGTGCGGGTTGGGATGGTGCGAGATGGTAGTGGAAGAGTGAGCCGGCACAGCTTTGCTGACGGCAGTACTTTCAACAAAGAGAGCCTTGTGTACTGCAGGACCTGCCTGGGTCCTATAAGGGTTAGTTTTGCTTCTCAGGCCTTATTTGGGCATGAGGAAGAGAGTACACAGCTTCCCCCACTTTGGGGATGGCTGGTAGATTCAGTTAGCAACCGCCTTACACAGAGAGAGGGTGACCAGCCAGCTTCCTCACCCTGACGGGTGACACTCCAGGCACCCTCAGGGTGTATCCGTCTGAGTTGTGAGGTAAGAGTGTCAGTAATGCATTGTCTTGATTGGGTGTCTTAGTGGTGACGAGCTAGTGGAGTCTGAACCATTTAGCCATGTATGGTGTGGGCGTGTATGGTGTGGGCGTGTATGGTGTGGGCGTGTATGGTGTGGGCGTGTATGGAGTGGGTGATCCCCCCCCCCCTTTTAATTTGGTCAATATTGTGTTAAATAATAGAATGTCAGTGTTAAATATCAATTACTGGAAATTGGAATAATGAAATAATTTGGTAATAAACGTCTATGTGTAGAATACCAAACTTGACTTTTGTTCAGTCCTCTTTTTGAATCAATGTCCCCACAAGTAAGAGTTAAGGCTAGAGAGATATCTTGATGAACACGTGAGAGATAACTAAATTAAGCAGTGTTCCTGTCGCATTGTTTAAGTGGAAGTGATGTTAGATTCAATGACAGGTGGTGGCAGCAAACATCAGAACATCTTAGAATAATAACA